GAGGCTGAGGCAAGAGAATTTGAGGTCCATGGCCAACCTGTCTCAAAATAAAAGATCCTATCTCAAAATAAAAAATAAAAAGGGCTGGGGATATACCTCAGTGGTAGAGCACCCTGGGTTCAGGTACTGGTACTACCACAAGTGTGTGGGGGAGTATCTTCTTACCACAACTAATTTCTTTCTGGAAGCCTTCTTACTTGGAGCCAAGGGTTATCTCTGCTTTCTCCATAGCACGTACTTGCATGCTTTCCTTACTGTTCCAGAGCAGCTCAGCTCTCACTTATGGTCACAGTGCTCTCGTGTGTATGGTTGGCCTCTTTCTCCATACCTCCTGCACAGGGCTTTGCACAAGTGGGTTCTTAAATACAGCAGCCTCTTGTCATTTTCCAATGTGAAGTTTAGTCTCAGTTATTCACAATTATGTGAGATGTTGCTAAGTGCCATTTTCCTGGGCCATGAAATTTAATTCATCCAGATACTGTAAGGCTAATCTTACCATAGAGCTGTTTGTATGGTCATTGCCAACAGTACATCTTCTTGGTTTTACTCAAATACTCTTGAAACATCTTTACATATAAAGTAATTCTTGAGGGATGGATAAAATCTAGTTTCCTTTTAAAAAAAAAAAGACTTCAAGTAAGAGAAAGAAGCTTTAATGTGGCTAATCATTGACGGTGAGATACGTATATCACTCTAATGAAATCAAGCATAAATGTATGAAGATGGGGTAGGAAAAATGCACACAATTATCCTGCCAGATATCTAAATTTCAGGCTTCTCAAAGAATTCCAAGGTATGCACATTTTAAAGATATACCATATACTTTCCTTAATGATTCCCTCATCCCAAATGGAGCATATCTCCACACTTTAAAATGTGTGTTTAGGCCAGGGATAGAGCTCAGCAGTACAGTGCCTGCCTGGCAAGCACGAGGTTGTGAGTTCAATTCTCGGTACCAAAAAAAAAAGAGTGTGTGTTTAGTCGGGCGTGGTGATGCAGCCTGTAATCCCAGCACTCAAGAGGCTGCGGCAGGAGGATCGCTATGAGTTTGAGGTCATCCTGGGCCACATAAACAGAATTTAAGACCAGCCTGCACTACATTGTGAGACCCTATCTCCAAAAAAAAAAATAAAACGTGTGTTTAGTCCAGTGATGCTTAACCAGAGTTATTCCATGAATCACTTGGGAGACTTGTTAAAAATACAGTGGGAAGGCTCTCCTCTAGACCTACTGCAGGAGATGCTCCAGGACTTAGGTTAGGATGTGTACGTTTGTGTACATTTTGAAAAAGTGTGCCAAATCATCCTCATGAGCATAACCCCTGGTTAGAGAGGGATTCTGTACTTCTTTTCTTTCTTCTGTTGTCTGCCCTTGAAGATTTTAGTTTTTAATACCTCAACAGAGGAAATAAATAAATACATTCAAATACATTATTTGCCTGAATTTTTTTAAGGAATGAGGGATAAAAGTGATTAAATAATATGACCACTTTTTGTTGTTTGTTTAGTGACCAAACTTATAGTTTGCATCTATGAAACTTCTTTCTGAGGCATCAAAATACTTCTTCAGTTTCACCAGCATCCTAGGGACTAGGATGGGACTTTGCCTTATTTCCCCCAGCTCCCTCCCCTTGCACCTTCATTGTAGAACTGGGAGAAAGCCAGGCACTGTCCTGACTTTCATATTTGTAAACTGCAGTATTTACTCAGGAAAGGCTTACAGGATTATGGACTGAAAGAAACTCATATGAATATTGAGATTGAGAGAGGCTCAGTTCAGTCAGTGAGAGTCATTCGTAGAACACAAGGTTGTCTGGCAGTTGGGGCAGGAGAGAGGGGGTTAATTTTTGATCATTTTGCATTTGCTGGCTTCCAGTTTTAAAACATGTTGTCCCAAAAGCCTCAAATCTGGTGAGTCGTGGAATACAAAGAAGTATGAACTAAAGCTAAGTAGGTTTTTACACAGTCAGTGGAATTGCTGTTCTTAAATTGCACCCCATCTCCAGCTGTGAAGCGGAAACATCTGATTTGAAAAGTTCATTTATAAATGGAAATAAAAATTAGTCTCTTGCTAATGCTGTTTTCTTTTCTTTCTTTTTTTGTTTTTGTTTTGTTTTTGTCTCCTCTCTAGCATGAAAGACTTTCTAGGTAAGAATTTTCCCTGTTTTATATGCATGCTTAGTATTTGTGAGTGAATGTATGTCTAATTAAATTAGCTTTATTTAATAGTTTAGTAATGTTCCTCACATCCTTTTCTTCCTTTTCATTTCCACAACTGCCACAGTAATTCCAGCTTCTATTATCTACTGCCCAAAGCATGGGACAGCTTTCAAGTTGCCTTTCTTTCACCAAATTCTCCTCTTTCCAGTTTACCTTGTATACTTACACTGAATTAGTTTTCCTAAAGCACCAGTACCAGGCACTGTGCTAAGCACCAGGGAAACAACATAAGTAAAACACTATCTTTTCCTGCAGTTAGCTTATGAATCACTGGAGAGGCAGACCATTTCAGGAGAATGTAGTAATTGCCATTTAGAAGTATGGACAGGTATTATGAACACAAAGAAGAGGCAGTTACGCTAATCTTATGGTTCAAGGAAGGCTTCATTGCAGAGTGGAAGCCTGAATTGAGATTGAGGTTAGGTACTGTCCTTAATAATGAATCTAATGTCATACTTTATACCTAAATGGTGCTTAGTACCAGTTTGTCAAATGAATTAGGCCTGGTTTACAATTACTGAAAAATTAAGAAAAGATATCATTTTGGAGGATGATCCTCTGTATTTTTTCAGCTAGTACTGAAGGATACAAAACTGATCTTCCTAAAGAAGAAATTAAATAAAAAAATGATAACAACTGTGGAGCTGAATGTTTGAATCGTTTTTTTCCTCTATTCCTCTGATGGGGAAATTAGGACAAGGACTGAGGGAAGGTGTGTTATGAGATAGTACAGGGCAAAGGAGTCTCCTCGTAATTTGCTTGGCAGTTGAACTGCCATTAATAACTGAACATTATTAATACATGCTAAATTTTATATGTATTCTGCTGCCTTCTCACTAGGCACCAGCTGAGGATAATTTACTTCTAACTTAGCAGAAAATTACAGTTTTGCAAAATTTGGTGGTGCAAAATTATCAAGTTTAATTACATAAAATTTTAAATCTCTGCTAATGAGATACTATGAACAGAGACAAAAAGTGAAGTAGAAAACAAATTATAAACTATGTTAGATGGCAATAGAAGTCCTACTGTGTAGGAGGCTTCCCCAGCATAACAAAAAAAGATGATTACCCTACTAAACAAGGGCTATGAACCTGTGATTCAGAAACAAGATAAGTAACCAAAGATATTAAGCCTCGTTAATGATTGAAAAATATTAAAATTACCAAAATGGAAAGGATTAAGCCACTGGAAAGCAGTATGTCAGTATATACATATACCAGCATTCAAAATATATTTAGCTTTTGACCAAATAGTTACACTTCTGAAATTTATCCCAAGAAAGTAATTAGACAGTGCACTACAGGTGTACCAATGAGCAGACAAGACTGCTCATTGTAGTAGCTAAAAATTTAAAACAATGTGCATTTATCATTTGAGGATTAAATTACTATCCAACCATGGAATGGGCTGCACAGTTACTTTTTAAAAGTAAGATAAATTTATTTTTACTTCCATGATAAGATGTGTATACTTATAGTGGTTAAATATAGGGAGGAAAAGGAGTTGGACAACATGTGTATCTGATTTTATGTACGGAAACATGTATTTTAACACATTTGTGTGTTTGATATCCTGCAAGGGTATGATCTAAATTGTTATCATTATTTTTGGGGTAGGATTATGGAGTAGACACTAGGGCATCACTTGATATATTGCCTTTCTAGTCAGAGAAGTCAATACAAAGATTACTGTTCACGAAAATGAAAGAATGCTGTGAAAGAGATGGGATTTAGCATATCTATAAGAGAAAGGTTGCCATTGGTGTCCTTAGGAGCTAATTGCTTGACCTCTCCTTCTCCTCCCTCATCCCTTTGTTGCTCCTCTGCTTCTTCCAGTACTTATTTCAGCTTCCACTCATCCACCCTGTCTTTGGCAGCAGTTACCACAGAAACAGCAGCTGTGAGCCCCACTGCTGTACTGCTGCAAACCATCCCATTCAGGTTGGTTTGTATACAGCGTTTTTGCAGGGGCTCCTTTCTAGTTTCCAAAGAGCAATGTCCAGAAAAATATAAACCAGGGTTAAGGATTGGGGTGATGGTCGTATACTTTAAACAATCGGCCGAGAGAGGGGTTCTCTAATGAACTAACCAATGCTAGAAATGAAACCACCACCAAATCTTAAGAGCCCAGTTGCGAGATGTAGACATTGCAATCACAGGACAAGGATGGTATGGAATACAAAGAAGAGAGTAGAAAATCAGTCGCTTGGGCACCGTGGGGGACCCCTGGAGTGTTAGAATTCCGGCACACCTGTAGTGCACTGTCAAGCACAGGTATTATGCCCTAGTGCCGTTCCTCCATGAGCCTCCAGCTCAGTTTCCAGACCCATCTGTTTCTGATTCATTGACAGTTCATTGTAGTCATTTTCTAAGAGCCATTGAGATCCAAACTTTTGCTTTTAAAAGCACACTCTCTAGGGAAGCTGTTCAACCCTGAACTAATTTGAAAAACTCTGAGATTTAAGTCAGCATATGAGTCTAAACCACCAGTTTTTCAAATGAGCTCCATTCTTGGCAAATGACGGCCTCCCTCCTCTTCAAGCTCCAGGCTTGTGCAGGACAGCGGTGAGATCTGGGAATGTTGGCAGAGAGAGACAGAGAAGGAATGTTGTGCTTGTTTCTGGCCAGGGCTGTCAAACACTTCTTAGAAAAGGCAACGTTACCTTTAAGTGTTATCTCCCCCACCACACACACACACACACACACACACACACACACACACAATTTTGTTACCAAAGCCAAGTTTTACCTCTGATATTGTATCTCACAGGTTGGAATCGGGAGGTAGTAACCCTGCAACCAGTGATTCTTACAGTGACCGGCCCTCAGCTAGAGCCCGTCGGGAGGCCCGGGAGGCTCGTCTAGCCAGCCTGACCAGCCGTGTGGAAGAGGACAGCAACAGGGATTATAAAAAAGTAGGCTCTTTTTTCAGTTTTCCTGTTCTTGGGTTACAGTATGTGAACCTTTCAACCTTCTCCTCTGGCATGGAAAAATGAGCATTATTTGGAGTAAGCAAGGAAAAGCACTTGAGTAATAACTAATTCATTGCAGGCATCTTGGTTTGCTTCACCTTTCCACCAGCTAAATAAAGGCCCCTTTGCATGTTGCTTTTATTGCAGTAAGTATATGCTTATAATTGGATATTTAAAGGCATAAGGGAAAGTAAGAAATTAAGAATTTTGCTGGGCATGGCAGTGCACACCCATACTCCTAGCACTTGGGAAACTAAAGCAGGAGATCACCACCAGTTCGAGAGCAGTCTGGGCTATGTAGTGAGTTCAAGGCCAGCCTGAACTGAATGGCAAAACTCTGTCTCAAAAAAAAAAAAACAAGGAAATTGTAAGAAGAGTAAAAATTATATTGCTGTCTGTCTGAGCCTCTAAGAATCATTTGGTAGACTGTGACATTTAATGAACGTGTGATTTAAGTAAGGTCCTGTGAATATCGACTAATACTTCTTGGTATTTTTTTTAATCTTCACTATCCTATCATTAGCATCTGGATTTAGAGAAGTTTAAATCACTTTTTATCCATTACCTTTGGTTCTTGCTACCTACACCCTTGAAAACTTTCCCTTTCAAGTGCTTGGGATATGAGGGCAGGAAGCACCTTTGGTGAAGGAAATTTTTTCTTTGTTGATGGTTTCAATAAGCAGAACTTGATGAAAAGCAGTATGTACCACTAAGCGGGTACCCTAAAAAATTCTGTTTTGTGTGGCGAGCAGTGCAAATGCTCCATAGGAGAAAATGGATGACTTCTTTTCTCCCAGAGATTTTTTAGTTTTGAAGTTTGTGCCCAGCACCTGGGATCATCACCTTCAAGAAGCAGGAGAGCGTGGCCAAATGCACCCTGCCCGACTCCCTTCGTCTTCTTCACCTGTGCTCAGTTATGGCTTGAGGCAGCGAGCCCCAGGCTGCCTCATATATGGAGACTGTGTGAGTGCTAATTCAGGGCTCCCCGCCTAATGATCTTATTCTGCTCTCCCTCCTCAGCTGTATGAGAGTGCCCTGACTGAAAACCAAAAATTGAAAACAAAGCTTCAGGAGGCCCAGCTAGAGCTCGCAGATGTAAAGTCCAAGCTTGAGAAGATGGCCCAGGTAAGAAGGAGAAAGAACAGAGCCACAGGCGAGGTTGTGGGAGGAGGCAAACTGCACAGGGATCCGAGGGACTGGATGTGAGGTCAGAGTCAAAACCAGACTTCCTCAGAGGCAGTGAAATGGAAGCCTCTTAGATTCTCACTTGATTTTAGCATTAGTCAGTGTTAAACCTGAGACCTGCTAGTTGAGAGAACAGTTCCTATGGTCTGAATGCTAATAGTATTGTCTGCTTGTTTCCCAGTAGACAAGTATAAACAGTGTGACAAGGCCAGTCCTCCTCAGTTTCTCCTTGTTCTTCATGCATCAGTTCCAGTCACCTCCACATCACCTCTCAGACAGTGATAAGCAGAACACTGTAGCCAAGTACAGAGAGGTACTAAATTAGGCCCATAACATGTCAGGGGCAGAGGTGGTACTGGAACCTAGGATTAGATCCTGAAGCAAAGATTCCATCCTGGAGCATATGCTGTCTCTCCAAACCATCACCTCCTTCAGCCTGGGCAAGGAGCTAGGGGCAAAAAGATGAGGCAAACCATTTTCTCTCGCCACCAGGCCTAATTTAATTAGGTGATTCTGCAGAGAGTGCTGGAGGTAATGACCTCATCACCAGTGAAACAGACCCTGCAGTTGAAAGCTAAAGCAAGTGCTATCTTAGATTATTGTGGAGTTAACAGGAAACCTATTGAGTTATTGCCCTGCTGGAATGCCTTGGGATTAAGAGTTTCAAAAGTTGAACTGAGGTAAAAATGATTTTTTATGAGGAAGACAAGAAATGAAAACCAGAGGTGGCTGATTAATCTGGTAATATAATACAATCCAAAAGCAAAGGCTAAAATGTTGGCTTATGTAGTCCTGAGTACATGAGTTTAGTAGGGGTCCAGGCAATTGAGTCCCCTGCAGACATCTTGGTGTAGCCTCTGTGGCATGGGATGAACAAGACACCAAGGCCACAGAACTGTGTGGGAGGCAAGCAAGATACCCAGGACACCCACACTTTCTAGAGAAGGATTTAGCTATACTCAGATGGCCTGTCCTGAAAACTGACTGTCAGTGTACAAGAGGCCACCTCTTCTGCCTGGAGATACCTAGTAGCCAAGCATGGCTCTTACTAACTAGCAATTTCTGAGACTTACTGAAACAGATGGATAACAGCTGGGCTTAAAATGATTTTATGGAACAAGAAAAGTAGGTCTCTAAATCTAAAGTTACAGCCTCACTATAAGGCAGGAATGGACTAAATAAGCCTTAGTATTACTGAACCAGCAAAATGTCTTACTTACTACAGCAAACCCTCAGAAGATATCTGGGGCTAATTTTCATGCTGAATAGTGCCACATATTGGCAAATGTCAATAAGTACTGATCTTATACGGATTGTCATTGGTTATTTGAGGTCTATTTTGTGGAATTTAAGGAACAGAAGAATCCAGTTTCACCTGTTCCTTACTCTCCTCAGCAGAAGCTCTGACAGCTTATTTCTTGACCTTCCCAGCAGCCTGTGCTTCATTGCAGCAAGTAGCCTAACAGGCTGCTGACACTGACATGCACAAGGACATTAAAAACAAAATCAGCCTTTCCCAGTCACTGGGGAGTAGCATTTACCCTCCAGCCAAGTGCTTTGCTGGGTGTGTCGGAATATACTTAGATTTGCCAAATGCAAGTTACTGAAACTGAGAGAAAACTGTGGACTACAAACCAAGTCTGCTTACCAAAAATGGAGTTGTTTGGTCAGACAGTGGAGTGAGGGCCTATCAGCTTCATACATTTGTGAAGACAATTACCAGTGGTCATACACAGTGTCTTTACATAAAAGGTCCACCCCAACTCTACAGGGGTTAAAACTGTAAACAAAACAAAAAAAGGCAAACAGTGAAACTAGTTCTTTGTACACATGAACTTTGAATATAATGAAATTATCACAGCTTCTGTAGTTTCTCAGGCTTAGGAAAGACTTATGATGATATGAACCAACTACAGAATATACTGATGTATTTTTCTTTTCCTTCTGTTTCACATAAATGCAGTGTCAAGGCAGACAGCCATAACTTTCAGAACAGTAGGTGAAAGCCCAGGACAGGAGCCAGAATTTCAAGTTTTATTGTTAGTTCTGGCTGTTCCTTAATTTTTTGAAAAACAAACTCTGTAAGAAGACCAGCATAATTTTTGTATTTATTAAATGTTTTCTGGGCATAATGCTAGGCAGAATTAAAACCCTTTATTTATTAAATGTCTATTGAATTGCCCAGTTCTATAATGCCCAGACCACAAGTTACTTAGGGTTCTTTTCCATTCCCCTATTTGAAGCAGGATTTATTACCCAAGGTTATTCTACCTTTTAGGGATGGTGGTCAGATTTTTTTAGTTCTTCTGAAAATTGTAAATGGAGTAAGCCCAGTGATGGTGGATGCCTGTAATCCCAGCTGATGGGGTGAGAAGAGCAGAAAGATTTCATATTCAAGGCCAGCCTGGGCAAGTTAGCAAGGCCTTATTTCAAAATAAAAAGGGCTGGAGATACACCCCTGGATTCAATTTTTTTAAAAATCAAAAGTGATCTACAGTGTACATTCCAAATCTTTTACGCAAAAAAATCTTCCCTTAACTGAAAACTCAGTGTATAAAGCAAGTAAAAGTAGAACTGCTTGTTCAAAATGGGCAAATGCCATGAAGAGGCTCCCAAGAAGCTTACCCACATGCAAACACCATTGCCCTAAAAGGAAATGGTCAGTGCCCCAAATCAAATGTAAGGAATAGAGGGGAAAGGATTATTTAGAAGATTGGTTAGGCACTCAAATTCAGGAATCTCAATCCATTTCTTTTTTCCTCTGATTTTTCCTCTCTGGTATTACTCATAGAAAGAGGGGAGAGGGATGTTGCAGTATAAGGTAGTTGGCATTGAAGACCAAGAGAGTCAGAGACAGAGATGGTATGTGTCAGGTGTGTGTGTACTGTGAGTAATGTCTTTGTATATGTGAATGTTTTATTTTTTTGTTGTTGATTTTTGTCCCCCTTCCCGCACCCCCGTACCAGGAATCAAACTCACAACGTCGCGCTTTCCAGGCAGGCGTTGTGCCACTGAGCTAAATCCCCAGCCCCTATATATGTGAATGTTTTAAATTACAGTGAATATTACTGCTGCCTTCCTCCCCCCAGGGGGAACCCTGCAAACTTCAGAGAGATAGTACTTGTAGGTTTAGTGATCTATAAGAATCCTTTTGCTGGGACCCCTGGTAGAGTAAAAGCTCAAAGTCCTGCTATCTATTTCAGGATGTCCAGTGGTGAAACTGAAAAGGATTGAGCTTTCTGCTAGCCCTGAAATAGCTCAAGTAACAAGTGTTTTCCTCCCATTTGCATAGCAGAAACAGGAGAAGACCTCTGATCGATCATCAATGCTGGAGATGGAGAAACGGGTATGTGCGTGTTTCTTTTCCCGTTTGATCCCATCTTTCAGCTTTCTCTTTGTTTTTCATGCCGATGGAAAAACTTTTATCTTAAGAAGGCAGCAGTTCTGCCACATTCCATTCCCAGCTTGATGATAAATTCTTTTTGTCTGACTTGACAGTAATTTCACTGCTAGTCTTTTGGCTTCCTCAGATAGTGTTTTGTACATAGTCCAGTCTTAGGGTGGGAAGGGTCCTTGGAAGGTCATCTCATATACTGTTCTGCCTTTAGGCAGAGCTGCACACATACACCTAGCCAGAATATATTTTAGCTTACTATAAATCATATTTGTGGGCACACACACGTCTAAGTGTTCTTTGCCTTTCCTATCACCTTGGACAGAAAGGAAGCTTTCACTGGGTCTTTCTGCCATTGATTTAGGTCTTATGACTGGAGACATGAGTCATAAGGGTCTTCGGTCCACTGTCTCACTGAGCAGAGGATTTCTGGTTCAATTGCTGACCTCCTCCCAACTGCACTTAGCATATTTTTCTGGGATTTAACATTCTTGGATTGGGAAAACTCAATTAGATTTATTGATGAACCTTAGCTTTGATTTGACCCTAGGGATGTAATATGTTCCCATCTCTCCTGTTATTGTCTGTTTAATTTGGAAAGCAGCTAAGTTTTCTATTTCATTCCCTTGGCCTCTAACCAAACTTCCTTGATAGCTCATCTGGTCCAAGACTTCTCATTGGGTTCAGGCTAAATTGAGATTTAGTTGCTAGGAGAGAGAAATGGACAGATAGGGCAGGTACCCAGGGAGGGGTGCTGTTTGTAAACAGTGATGTCTATATCCTTACTCACCATCTGCTCCCCAGCATGAGAGAATCAGTTTCCTGGGAATTTGGGGAAAGTACTACTAAAGGTAATGATGGGTTTTCCTTAATAAAGAACAAAGTCCTGGTCACTTGCAGTCATTTGAAATTCTATGAAATCTTCAGTTTGCAAAGAATAACTCAGAGTGCCCTGGTCTGTTTGGCCTGTTAGCAAATTGCCTCACCTTATATTCCCTAATATCCTAATGGGAGGCTCAGGTCCTGTGATTTTTGTCTGTGAAATAGCTCCACCACCACCACTTCCCGCCAGGGGCAGGATCAGAGACTGCCCACATCTGAGTGAGGTTTGCTGGAGTCAATAGAGAGACCCTCTGACTATGAAGCTGCTGATCACATGACAGCTGGGAAGCAGCACTGTGACTGACTTAAATCTATTACGTATTCAAAGGGCTCATTGTTTCTAAACAGGAGAGGCGAGCCTTGGAACGGAAAATGTCGGAAATGGAGGAAGAGATGAAGGTATGGAGAGATTTTTTTCTCTTTTTGTGTGCCTGTGTTCTAAGTGCCTGCCAAGACTGGATCCTTGAGTATTGATAGGCCTGTCCCCAATTTCACTGCAAACTCAGCAAGCTCACGAAGAGATGACGTGTGAAGAGGAGATGAGCATCTTTCCTTGGCTGCTTTCTAGGGTCTGTCTCTGCCCACATGACGTCCGCTGTGGCCACCTTGCAGGAACAAATGCCAGCTTTGGTTCAGGGGAGATCTGGGCACACTGGAGACAAACCCATGGTGAACTTTTAAAGCTTTCTAGGCAATAGCTTCACCCTCAAGAGGTTTCATGAAAAGGACATGTTTTCCAGCTCTGCAGAGGCTCTATTAAGTGCTTGCTCTGTGAAGCCTGAGCATGGCAGACGCTTTCTTCCCATTTCCCCTCCCTAACCCAACCCTTTGCAGGAAAGAACACAGATTGAGTCATTCTGCAGCAGAATGAAAATTTATTCACATTGACTTCCTGCCCCGGTCCATTTCCTCTGCAGTATTCCAATGTGCATGGCACTCCCGCTAGAACAGCTCACTGAAGGTACAGGACAGATTCACTTACAGGCCACTGCTTTCCTCTCCCCCTCACCAGGACCTGCAGTTACCCTCACTGTCATTAGCCACCTTAACAGACAACTGCCACTGTCGTTCTTTGCAGTTTTGAATGCTAAGGTCTGGCAGTCTTCCCAAAGGAAGAGCTAGAAGAGACTTCAGGGAATGTAGAGCCACCCAGATATGATTTAGGAGCACCTGATCTCTACAGTGGGTGACGCCACGTGGCCACAGTCACTTAGCACTTGCTCAGCTTTTCTCTCTTCAGGGATCATATTTTACCAGATGTAGGATGGCAAACACTTGCCTGATGAGGTATAAGTTCTTCTGCTAGAAAGCAGAGGCCATCAGACAGTACCAGGCTGATCCCAAGTCTCCTTCTTGGAGCAAACCTTCCTAGTATGTAATTGGGACACTTTAGGATCTATATTTATTGTCCCAATGGCCCCAAAAGGTTGGTTATTTACTGAAAAAACCTTTTTAGGACCTGACATGGTCATAGTTGTCACAAGAGCCTATGATCATAACCTTGTTACTCTTTATAATTCCAAAGTGAAGGAGAAATCCCAAACCCTGTCCTGCATTTCCTTCCCACTATCCCAAGGCTACAGCTGATAATATTCGGTAGAATTCCCAGCAGTATCTGCTTATATGTCAAATACTTCAAATCTTCTGTATCGATTCAGAACAGTGAGGATTCTCCTAGGTAACAGGGCAGTACCCTAGCATCATTAAACTTCTCCATCTTCTGGCTCCTCCAAACCCATCTCACTTACCATACAGAAATATTTTTCCCTCTTGAAGCAGCATGTTAGTATTGCCAAACAGTTCTCAATGACGCATATCCACTGCTCCCAGTTGCATGGGGTCTCTTCCAGCTTTGGAACCCCCTGAGTTATACCATCTGTACTGTGCTGTTAGGCAGCTGTCAGTAATGCTCATTAGGAAATGGGCTGAATGCTGATCCGGAGCATGTGAACAAGGCCAGAGCTGGTGCCTCCGGTGAGTACACAGGAGCCCAAAACCAGCGTGTACCCAACACAGTCGTAGAACTCTGTCACACCCAACAGACTGCCCGCAACACAGACACCTAGAAAGTAGCCAGAAAGAGAGCATGAGGGCCATTATTTCTGTTTTTGTTCTAAATGGCAAGTGTGGAAGCCCTTCCCTATTCTAGTCACCATCAACTCTGGATTGAGACAGGCTTACCTGTTTCCCTCTGTATCCTGTCAGGCTATGATTTCTTAAACTAGGCCATGAGTTCTCTTCTGTTCTCAATAGGGATTATAATACAGGAAAATGTTTGCTCTCTCCAGTGAGAAGCCATTTGTGAGCAATTTTAAAATCAATTGATTAAGTTATGAATTCGAGCCAGATTGACTCTTTGACCCTAAACCAGGAGGTAAGCTGTTTTGCTATTTTTTTTAAGTTAAAAATCCCACCCATTCAACTGCTGTTATTCTCCATTACTAAATGGAGAAGAAATACCTACAGACTGTAAAACCTTTAAACACAATTTGCACAAATTAGAGCTAATGGCAGGTTTGCAAACCATCCAGCTCCTCTTAAAGGACTGAGGGAGGAGCACCAGTGCCCCCCAATCATACCATTGTTATGTTTGTGTTTGTACCTTCTTTGAGCACAAAAACTTCAAATATAGGTAAGATGTTCTCAGATTGGTGTGACTGGCCCTAAAAGAGCCTAAGAAAATGTTTATCATTTATGCTGACCACCTGTACTAGAGAGATTAGTGACTAGAATCTCTCTCTACTAGGTACCCAGCCAAAAATGAAGGAAACTGTCTTATTGAATCTGTAACTCAATACAGCTTGAGACCACTTATTCAGTTTATACAGATGTACATATCTCCCTGGAGCAAACGACTGGGACTGATCGGTTTGGGAGGTTGATTTCCTATAAACCATTAAAGATACTCTAGGTGTTCAAGGATAAAAAGTAACTGTGGAGCCTTTTTTTTTTTTCTTTTCTTTTTGACTGGCAAATAAAACATAAAGGCCAGGTGAAATGGGGAACCATGAGATAGGCTCACCTGGATGTGTGTGGGGCTCTGTGGCTGTGAGGAGGGTTGTGCCTTTCAGACCTTTACCTGGAAAGGTAAGTATTTCTAAATTTTCTGCCCTGGAGAAACTCTACCCAATCCTGGGCTGGAGGAGGGTTATATGTGAGCTTCTGACAGGTGTGCATGTCAGTGTGAGCTGTGCTAGTCCTGCACTTGGTCTTGGGATGTGCCCTCATCTGACCTGACGACTTTTCTGCTGCATCCTCCATTGAGCACCAACCTCCTTAGCAGACTCTCCTTCCTTTCCAAGGGCCTTGCATGAGAGGGGCCCAGCAGCCAATCCCCTTTTAGATTGGTCCTGGGATTTTTACTTTGCTTACTCTGGAAATATTATTCCATTCTTGCCCCTAAGCTCTGCCCTCCCAACCCTGCTCTGTGCCCTGCTGTCTTCCCCCTCTTCTTGCCCTGCCTTGTTTCCAAAACTGCTTCCTGTAGAACAGTCCACCAGATTGTTTCCTGACTCTCTCCTTCACGCTGATAATTTCCAAATTCTTCCACCTTAGTCTATTTGTACTTATGTGTTAGATTAGTCACTTTCATAGTTCATGTCTTTAAATTCTCTAGGAGCCAAAGACCACTTCCTATAATGATAATGATCATTCAGTGTCAGCACCAGTGAAGGTGAGAGCCAGGGACTTTCAACTGATTCTTAAATTTGGTACCTGCCCCTCTGTAAACTTTTCCATGTGCTACTCCATGACCTTCTGTCCCTTTCATGGACAAAATGCTTACAGTCAGCAGAGGGATGCCCAGTCCCTACCATCCAGTGCCACGTGGGACTGTTTGGCTGCCCTGTTTTCCAAGGTAGTCATTCTCCCTCTTTGGGGAAAAGCTATCCATTGGTTTGTCTCTGCTTGTTTTACCTTTTCACTGTTTTTCCCCTCAAGCTGCCTTTCATCCCAACCTGTTATGCCACTAACGTTTCCTTGCCATCCTTCTCATTGTATAAGAGACCTTTGCTGATGATTTATGACCTTTTCATCACCATTCTAGCACACAGGATTGTCCATCCTCACTGACAAGACTACATCTGGGTAACAAATCATTTCCCTCTTCCCAGAGAGCTGATGGTCTCAGTGTGAGGGTCAGTGTAGATGGTCACTTAGGAAAGACTTGGAGCAAAATATGCAGACTGTGATAAACTCTTATTTATTGAAGACTTTAAGTCCCTTATGGAATATATAGTATTAGGAAAATTACCTGTGGGCTGGATTAGGACATTAGTCCTCCCAACTCCATTATAGCCAGACATTCTTAAGTTCCCCACTCTTATTCAGAATATGAGTCCTTTGTGAATACTACAACATGAAGTAGGACATAGAGAGCACAGTTAACTGTGAACCTAGTGGTGCATGTACTCATATATAGCAGATTGAAAGCATGTTAGCAATTCCAGAATCCTAGACAAGCCATCTAGACTGTAGAGGAGAACTGGCAGGGTTAATGCAGCCTCCTAACAAAGCAGCTTAGAAAGCTTTCCAGCCCTGGTTCAGTTATTTTGGTATGTCTTACCTCACCCTTTTAAAGAATACATGCCATATACCGAAAGTGCTTAAATAACAAACCTCTCTCTTACTTTTTCTTGTTTTATTTTTTAAAATAAAAAAATGAGACAAGAATCTAGAATGAAAACAAATGGGAGTAGGGGACTGAGTAAGGGATGGGGGATGGAATGGGGAGAGAGAAAAGCATCTGGGCTTAGGAACACTCCAGATCCTCAGCTCCAGTCCAGATGACAGTGAAGGAAGGTCCCTGAGGCTATGGCTCAGCCGTGTGAATTTGGTTAAGAAGGACCTAAACCACATGGCAGGCTGTCATTCTCAGAAGTGATCCAGATGTGCTTTTGAGAGCCGAGCGGCTATGCTCAGATGGCCAACCTCTAGCATACTTAGACTTCAGCCAAGAATCCCAGGCACCACTGTCCCTTTCCTGGTGCTTTTCTCCATTGCACACCCCCCATACATAATTTCTCATTACTCCTGCGTTCTTCATTTCCTTTCTTGCATGCAAAGTAAAAACAAAAAGTCACATGGTATCTTTGTCCTACTTTTTTCTCCTCTGGTTTGTCTTGTCTGTCTGTCTTGTCTGTCTGTCCCCTCCATGTCTCACTCTCTGCAGAACCTCCACCAGCTAAAACAGATTCAAACCTTGAAGCAGATGAACGAGCAACTGCAGGCTGAGAACAGAGCCCTGACCCGAGTGGTGGCCAGACTCTCGGAGTCCATCGAGTCCTCGGACACCCAGGAGCTCTAGTTCTTGCCTTTCCTCTTCACCTCACTTTCCTCCTCCACTACTCCAGGCAGGTTTACTCTTCTTATTGGTCCCAGAAACCCTGTGCTCATTCCCT